AGACTGGACCAATGCAAAGACTCAGAACACGACATGGAGCCCAGGCTGGGCCAAGCCTGATAATGTATGATAATGTAAAAGGGTTATAAGTGACAGCCGGCTGCATTTCTCCGGACAGTCTCAATCTGGTAAGGGACCATCAACCTGCTGCTGGCACAGAGCAATTTTAGGTCTGGGTGATCAATTTCAGCTGGTTCATTTTAGGTCAACATCTCTGCCTGACCCGCAGTGTTGATAAATAACCTCATCTTGTCAAAATAATATCACCCTTTACCCATATCCAAAAGTGAACTATTTCTCATATTAGGTAAATTAATCTAAATTAAAACCTAAATAAATCTCCTGTTCATTGAAATACTTTTGGTTTTAGATAAGTTATAATCACTGCCTTTCACTTAGATCATTCAAGGATCAATAATTGCTTCAAGTCATATTGTTAAATTGTCAATTCTGAGTGATTACTCAACAATCCAGTTATTTGTACTCTGTGAATTAAATCAGTGATTATTCTATTTTTTTATTTAGATTATTTTTGTCATTCATTCTAAAACATTTTTCATCGTCATTGTTAACCAATTTGTTATTAACCTGCAAGTTAAATTCACGTGCAAAGTAATCTCACTCCCCTCCTTTCTGAGGGTTGTTGTGGTCTTTGTTTGCCTGGATCAGGAGAGATGATTTGATCACTTACAAAAGAAAAAATGACTCGTATCAAGCTGGCTTCCTTCAATCTCCTTCCATCGTTAGGAGACACAGATTAAAAGGGGGAGAAGGAAGACATTTACTATAAAAAAAGAAAAATCAGCTTTAAATAGAGGAGGTTTTTACATTCTAAAACATACAGCGAAGCTATAAACTCTGTGAAGCTGCATGTAAATTTAACTTGCACATCAGAGCATCTTATGCAGTTTGAAGCTTGGAACTTGTCACTCTTCAGCTTTGAACCGAGAAAACTCCCTTGATAGGAAGCAAAACAGCTTCAACTACAGGATTGTAAGCCCTTTTTTCTGTCCCCCATCGTGGAGCGAAAAGGGGGAATTGGAAATACCCTCAGTCTGTACGTCCATTCATCTGTGTGAGAAATCTTGAAAAATAAGTGTGATACTGACCTCCATTTTGGTGCGTGGCTTCACCTAGGCGTAGGAAAGGTTTCTTTTGAGAAATGGGTTGCCAGGATAAATTCCAAGATGGCTGCTGTGAGCTGGTTGACTTAAAAATTAAGCAACAGGCCAACTTTTTTTGTTGTTGATAAGAAAGGTTCCTTTCAAAAATTAAAAAAGGAAAAATATGGGTTGCCACATCACTGTTGGTCAGCCTCTGGCTCCTCCACTGCACCAGGTGGTGGAAAGAATTGCTCCCTCCTCTCGCCAGGATCCAACACTCTGCACTGTTTGGAACAAGCAAAAGAAATAAACACCTCCCTCTGTTCTTTTCCACAGTGAAATTCCTACACACTTGAACATCTTGCACCAAAAACGTACACTCCATTTTTAATTCAAGTTCAGAAAAACACTCATCTCCAAAACTACAGGCTTTTACTGTTAAAATCCTTCAGTGGCTGCAGACATCGGCTTACTGCTAGGTTTTATTTGTTCTTTTCCCCAAGGCCAGCTGGCAAACCCCAACGGGGGCTACGCCCCAAACAGCATAGCCCTAAGGATGTACCCCTCTGAGATGTAATGTGTCAATTTCGTCTTGATTTTTATTTGTAAAAAGTTGTGGGTGAAAGTAAAGTTTAGATGTTTTGACTTACCTTTATGTTGTTTTCATGGCTGCTTGATGTGAAGACCTATTTCTGACTGGCCAGAGCCTGATCTGTAGAAATAATAACACACAGAGCAGGAACAGTATTTTTCTTTTTATATCCAACAATGTTCAGTCAGTTCATCTGGATGTTTTTTTTGTTTGTTTGTTTGTTTGTTGAGAAGTTTCATCCTTCATCCACAGGACTTCTTCAATCTGAGGAGCCATCAAACAAACTGATTCTCATAACAACATCATGGAAAAAAACAGTTGCTGATGCGAAGATGGCCTCTGGGGCCCATCTTCTCCCCTGTCAACTCCTCTGAGACAGGCATACCAAAGTGGTTCAAAACACTAAAGCTCCTCAGATTGAAGAAGTCCTTTGGATGAAGGACAAAATGTCTCAGCTTAAAAAAGAAACTGTCGATGCCCTGACTGAACATTGTTGGATTTTATACCTGGATTATTAAGCATGAACTTTGGAGGTGTTTTTTTTATAGTTTTTTTTTTTTTTTTCTAAGGAAAAGTTTGGCATCTGGAGGATGTGTCACTTTAAACCAGGGACAAATGGCCAGGCTGATAATGGTTGAGGTGGGCCATGAACATATGTTGATGAGGTGGGCAATTTTGAGCAGAACATCTGGCGTACGGGTCAGCTGGCACGCTGACTGACTGAGAGGAAGTTCAGAGAGTGCCTGTGTGTAACTGGACTTAGTGAGCGATGGAAAGGAAAACAAATCTTCTTGGAATAAAAACAGATATGGGAAAAATCTTAACATCTGAACTACAGTGAAGGATTTTTCTCCTGTTTCTTGCAAACTTGTACGAAAGATTTGGCAATTGTTTAATTATTAGAATCAAGCAGCTGTGGCTGAGTAGTTAGAGCAGTCATCCTCCTATGCAAGAGTTGGGGGTTCATTTCCACCAGCAGTCACATGCTGAAGTGTCCCTGGGCAAGACACTGAACCCGTCATTGCCTCTGATGTGTGTCCCCTCAGTGTATGAATGGGATAAAGCACTGACAAGTATTTGAAGTGATCTAGTAGAGTGCTGTATGAATGGATAAATGAGATAAATGATTGTAGTGTAAAGTGCTTTGAGTATCTTGATAAGATAGAAAGGCGCTATGTAAGTACAGTCCATTTACCATTTTATGCTGTATCCCCTTCCTGATGCGACCTGATATTAAACCTACAACCTGAGGATTATGAGACCGTATGTGAGACTCCGACTAGTGATGACGCTTGTATGTATGAAGTTTTGTTAAATTATTTTGAACGAATCAGAAGTTATGATTCAAGGTTAAAGTTCTTTACTGTCATTCTCATTACATGTGGTACATGAGGTGGAACAAAATTGTGTACTCAAGGTCCCAGTTACACCCAAAAATAGCAAAAATAGAAAGTATTAAAAAAGAAACTGTACAGTTGTCCCTCAGTTATCACGGGAGATACGTACCCTGAAGCCCTGCAAAGAGGGAAATTATTTGTTGTTGTAACTCGATATTTCATTAAGAGATGTTATAGATGCTGATGGCCGTAGACAGGAAGGATCTCTTGTAAGGTCCATCCCACAGTGGATCCTAAGAAACTGGCTGCAGATGCCGTCCGATCCGTCCACTCGGATTCGGCTGACCTCTCGGTTCCCCTCGGGTTGTAGGACCGCCCAAATGCCAGGCAGAACTCCTCCCAGAGAGATGGCCACTCCTCCCAGCAGTCTGCCGAGCTCCTCGTCGCTGCGGAAAGCCAACTGTAGGTGCCGAGGGACGATCCTGTCCTTCCACTGTCATGAGCCGTGTTTCCTCCTAGTTCCAGGATCTCAGTGGTCAGGTACTCGAGCACAGCTGGCAGGTAGATGAGAATGCGTCCACAGAACATCATTTTCAACTCATTTGAGATTTGAGGCTGTAGTTGAGATATTATTTGAGCTTTTGAGATGTTAATCAGCTGCTGTTGGTTGTAGAAAACTGCCTTGTTGCCATGGTTACGCATCATAACAAATGTCCAAAACTATAAAAGTTTCAGTAAAAAGCCTTCCAGCTGCACAGCATCTGGTACCAGAGGAAACAATCCTCCGAAAAATTGTGATTTACATCTAGAAAAAGAAGAATTAAAGTTTCCAAAAGCAAAATCTCAAAATGAAAGTAACAGAGCTGCTCCAACATGCAGCCACCTGG